GAATTTAGCGAGGATGATGAAGATATAGTTCCGTTGGTAGACAATAACGACATATCATTAGTTGATGAGTCCGATATTATTGAGGCTACTTTAAAGGGACAAGGTTTGGATGTTGAGGTGGATATATGGGAGACAGTTGTTTCACGATGTTAATGATTGCATAATGCTCCAAATATTTGGGCAATGACAGACCCTCAACCTGAATTCAATCATCATGATTTGTCTTAGTATCATCATGCAGTTGCAATGCATGACATTAACTATGATACTATGCGGAATCTTGAAATATTTGATATGCCAGAGTTATGTACTGCCCACTGGGGTTCTTCAGACGAGCGACCATCTAAGTTGGCTATTGGGTCTCAGTTTAAAACAAAAAAAGGCACAACTAGCAATCAATGAGTACTTTATCAAAGTTCATCTTCAATTATATGTCGCGGATTCAGATCAGAAAACTTATTTCGTAAGGTGTATACACCATGATGTTGCCTGTAAATAGAGGATACGAGTATCATACCTACAACGGAAGATGTTGTGGGAAGTCACAAGGTTCAATGCAGAGCACACATGTATAATGACCTCCTTGACATAAGACCATAGACATAAGACCATAGACATTTAGATTCGGATATCATATGCTTTTATGTGATGCTGTTGGTGGCAAAAAAATCCAAGAGTGCTCGTTTATGTATTAGTGGCATCCATTCGGAATACATTTGGTTATATTCTGACTTATTACAAGGCATGGATGGCTAAACGGAAAGCAATGACCTTGTTGTATGGTGATTGGGATCAATCATATAATGAGCTACCAAGTTTGCTGCAAGCAATGTAATTTTTCATCACTGGAACCATTGTTAGGTACTATACTCATCCTGCAGTCACACTTGAGGGCACTTTTCTGTATGGGCTCTACAGACATGTCTTGATGATAGTCGTTGCACATGATGGAGACAGAAATATTTTCCCAATTGATTTCACCGTTGTTAAAAATGAATCTGAGGAAACTTGGAATTTCTTTCTCTCCAACTTACGTTTCAATGTTGTCACTCAAGAAGGGGTTTGCATGATCTTAGATCGGTCACCTGGGTTGTTAAGCATAATTGGTAGACCCGAAAATATATGGACGCCACCGCACTCATATCATGCATATTGTATATGTCATATTGCGTCGAACGCAATGAAGAGGTTTAAGCAGAAAAAGATCAAAAAGGAGATGATCAATATGGGTAAGTACCTTTGCATTTGTCATTAATTATTTCTGCTTCATTAATATTTTTTAATAACATTTAAGTTACTGCTTTTTAGGGTGTATTTTACTCCAACCAAACTTCCGTGCATGGCTTGACAATTTGAGAAGATATGAAGATGATGTGTGTGAGTTTGCAGTTGAAATAACAAGGGAACGATAGTCAGAAGCATATGATGTTGAGGGTCGACGTTACTGCCATATGACTACCAACCTTATCGAATGTATCAACTCAGTGCTGAAATGGACTCAACATCTCCCGATAACAAGTATTGTTAGGGAGACTTACTTTAGGTTGGTAAAGTATGGGTAGACAAAAGTGCACAAATTGATGCCATGATCAGCAATGGGAGAAATTAGGCTCCGGATTTAGATAAGGCAATGCAAAAGAATCAAACACATGCGACATCAATGTTTGTACACAATTTTTCCATACTTTATTCAGATTTCATTGTCCAAGAACTAGTTCGACCACATGAGGGAGGTAATTTTACAACATACACTGGTAATCTAAATAGAGGATGGTGTGATTGTGGTCGATTTCAACCTTTTAGGTTCCCATAAGCTCACGTTGTTGTTGCATGTATGTACATCAATGTTGACCCATACTTATGCTGATGATTGTTATAGCTTGCACACTATGTGCAACAATTACATTTGTCACTTCAAGTACCTCTTAAATGAAACATACTGGCCTACATGCACAATTTTTTAGAAATGGTTGCCAAATCCTCAATTGCGTAGAAAGTTACGGGGTCGACCTGAATCTAGCCGAATTTATACCGATATGGATGATCCTCAAAGAGAGCCAGGTCAACCCAAACTTTGTGGCCATTGTAGAGGTGAAAGTTATAACAGAAAAAATTGTCCACATCTTCCAAAATATCGTGTTAGACGCTAAAATAGGCGTTACAAAATGTTGAACTATATTTTGATATAGCAATTAAGGCATAATGTTTTTGGACTTGAATTGAATTTGTTCAAGGTTTTCAAAAATAATTCAAATTACATTTTACTTGGAATTAAGCACAAAATACGTTTTTGTACAAGTAGTACCGATAATGTTCTTATTTTATCGATACCTCATACACAATACCGATAATGTTCATATGGTATCGATACCAAAGGTAAGGGAAGTATCGATACTCACAAGGTAGTATCGATACTATCAGCATTGCTCAAATTCCAGAATGTAAAAATGGTATCAATACCTAAAGGGGTATCGATACTACTTTGTATAGTAGTATCGATACCATAGACATAATATCGATACCATCAGACCCAACTGCTAGTTGATTTAAAAATAACAAAGGTAGTACCGATACTCCATTTGATATACATCTTCTGGTGAAAATGATGGAGTACTCCAGGTATTTGATGCCATCATTGATGTCATCACCTCAAATTGAGATTGTCCTTGATGAAGAAGATGATCCCATGAACCTCTTTCTTCCAGTTCTGAGGAAAATTGTTATAAAGGTGGCACTTGATGCCACCCACTTCCTTCCCACGCCGCTCGACTCTCCATCGATGGTTGATATGCACCATATCCATCATAACTTTCTTGCGATGGATAATAATTTGCGGAAGCATAAGATGAAGATGTTGACGAAGATGATGTTTTTTCCATATTTTTCCTTCATTATTTCCCACTCGGACCGCTCATCCGGCGTTGTCAAGTATGGTTTCCCATTTGCTTCATAATTTTGGAGATAGGGAGAAATATTGAAATCAAAATCTTCAGGTTGTACCTCAGAAAGATTAGGCAATTGTAAATGTCTATTTTGCCATTGATATATGTATGTAGCATGCTTTCTCGATCAATCTTCGGTATGCTTCCCACACACATCTACTTTATGCAAATCGTCAATGTCATATATTGACATTTCTATCGGTTGGTGAAACCCAAATTGTCGCAAAACTCTATCCGTGATATGCATCTCAACAATTGCGAAATAGAGCATTGATGTTATGGTACACTATGTCTCCGCTCCTTTAAAGAACATTAGCGGTAGACAACGTTGGATATCCGACTCATAATAAGGCATCCAATTAAACTGTCAAAAGTATTATGTTAGTATAATTAAACAATTAATATTACAATTTAAAAGTTAATGCAAAAAATACGAAAATTTACCGCATGTCTATTGGCGATATCAATTCTCATCCGAATATCTACTTTGGTTACACCCAACAACTTTGTATCGATTATTCGGTGTCGCCATCTAAAAAAATTACGTTAATTATTGTCATTTTCAAAATATTTAAATAAATATTATAAAATATTAAAACTTTAAATATATGAATTTACCTTGCGGCTAGAGAGAACTCCATGGGAGTGAATGTAATAGACGTCGTAAACGGGAGATGATACCACGCCCATGATTGAAGTAAAACTAAACAATCCGCTACATCCACTTTTTTTCCTCTAACGACTACAGTCGCCTTACATAGTTCATGATACAAAAACACCAAAATTGCAGAACCCCAACTATATTGGCGACATACATCGAAATCCTACATTACGAGAAGATATTGGGTGTGCACCAAATTGCCCAATTTATCATGTAGTATGATCCCTTCAATCAATGTCAAATGATATGCTCGAGCTGCATATATCATCTCTTGCTCCATTGATTGTTCATCTACTCTAAATTTGCTTTCCAACCACGTCATCCATACTCGCAACCCATCAATGACATCGGTTGGAGCCTCATTTCCCAATAAATTTGAAATAAGAACATTTACCTTATAAGTGTTGCGAAGAACCAATGACATACCATTAATCGGAACGTCAAGTTGATACGCGACATCTTCCAAAGTTATCGTCACTTCACCACAAGGTAAATGAAATGTATGCGTTTCGGGCCTCCAACGCCGATATCAGTGTCGGCATCACCTTAGATCCGTAAAGAAACGCCGCTCCATATAATCCGGATTGTGAAAGATATATCACTATTCGCTCATGTGGCTCTTCATTCGTCATTTCTCGATGACGAATGGTTCGTTCTTCTCGCTACAATTTGAAGTTAAATTACTTAATACAATTACATAAATAAATATTATTAATACTATAATTTTGTCAAAACTAAAATAAAATAAAATAAATTAAACTTACCGTTGTCAACTCGATCGACGAAATATGAATTTCATCAAGACGTAACATTTCTTCTCTTGAGGCAATTTCAACACAAATTCTTCAATACAAAAGTTTTTGCTCTCAGTAGAATGTTTGATTACAAGTGAAAAATTAATCCAACCCAAACCTCTATTTATACTACAATACCCAACGTCTAGTTTTTTCAAACTGAAAATAGCCGTTGGAACTCATCACACCGGCGTGACGAGTTCCATTGAAATTAAAAAAAAATGATCGTTGAACAACAGTCAATCCAACGGTCAAAAAATTAAAAATTATACCCGTTGGAACTCGTCACGCGGGCGTGACGAGTTCCATGGCCATTAATTTTTTTAATTTCCTTTTAAAAAAAATTAAAATTAAAAAAAAATATTTTTTATTGTAACTCGTCACGCCGGAGTGACGAGTCCCTCAAGAAATATTTTTTTTATTCCGACTATAGGGCCCACCTGACACGACCCATTAAAAAAATTATATTCCATAAAACTCGTCACGCCTCAATTTAACGTAGATCTCAAATTAAATATTTGGGTGCCCTAATGGGCCAAATTATTTTTCTAGGTGCTGTAATGGGCCAATTTCGCCGAATCGAACCTAAAAATAAAAAAAGGAAATCCACTTCACACTGGGCCGGACCAGACAATGTAAAAACCCTAGATTCCGTCTCTTGTTAGATATAAAGTCTCCAGTGTTGCCGCTCTTATTCCGCGCTGCAATCGGACTTCCCAATACAAAACCCTCGTTCTTATAAACACATACAATCCGAAAACAAAATGGCAGAAAGAGGAGGTGAGCGTGGCGCTTTCAGGCGTGGCTTCGGTGGCAGATCCGACCGTGGCCCAAGAGGAAGGCGCCGCGGCCGCAGAGATGAAGAAGAGAAATGGGTTCCCGTTACAAAGCTCGGACGTTTGGTCAAAGCCGGGAAAATCACGTCCCTTGAGCAAATATACCTCCACTCTCTCCCCATAAAGGAGTACCAAATCATCGACCAACTCGTTGGCCCTTCATTGAAAGACGAGGTCATGAAGATCACTCCAGTCCAGAAACAAACCCGTGCAGGGCAGCGTACCCGATTCAAGGCCTTCGTCGTCGTTGGCGATGGAAATGGGCACGTCGGTTTGGGAGTGAAGTGTAGCAAAGAAGTTGCGACGTCCATAAGAGGAGCGATCATATTGGCCAAATTGTCTGTGATACCGGTGAGGAGAGGTTATTGGGGGAATAAGATTGGGAAACCTCACACGGTGCCGTGCAAAGTTACTGGGAAATGCGGGTCAGTTACTGTTAGGATGGTGCCGGCGCCGAGAGGTGCTGGGATTGTGGCTGCTAGGGTGCCCAAGAAGGTGCTTCAGTTTGCTGGGATTGAGGATGTTTTCACTTCTTCCCGGGGTTCTACTAAGACACTTGGTAACTTTGTAAAGGTATTGCTTTTATTTTCCTTTCAAAGTACGTTTTTACGAAAAATGTTGGCTCTTGTTATTTAGTATTGATTTCAATTTTTCTTATAAATGGGTTTTAACGTTTAATTGTATGAGCTTATTTTAACTTTTCTATGCTGGTCACTGATATGAGTGTTCAAGTATTGGGATTTTTTTCTTGGTCTTTGATGAGCTGTCTCAGAGTGGGATTGTGTATGTATGATGCTGGGTTAACTCTATATAAATTGTTTACTACTCAAATATAGTGGATTGTCTCTCTTAATTTGGGATATTCATAATTTATGAGTGGTCAGATGTTTTATGGGTTTCTATTTTTTTTTCTTATATCTCCATGGCGATCCATCATATGTTGGAAAAAGTATTGTTATCTTTAACTTATGTCCTTGTGATTGTGTAATTGATTTGTTGATGTTGTTGACAGCATGACATAATAAATCGATTATAGGTGTACGGTAATGAATCGGTAACACATACAAATCTCATTGATTATACAAACTATCCATTATTTGAGTTGAAATGTGTTGAAGGTATTTTTTACCTTTTTCTGCTTGGCTTTTGATTTGGAATCTGATAATAGATTAGTTAGTTTCCAAATGCTCTGTTAATAAGTGTGTGCTAGTTATATAACTTTGACACTGTTCTTATGATATATTGTTTTATGACTTTTGTTGCCCTACACGTTTTGTGGGTGTATGCAGCACCTTTATAATTGATGTTGGTTTCTTCCATACTATTTGAAATCAAATATTTTCTGGTGTAAATGTGTTTGCAAATTGTAATTACTATATGTTCCTGACCTAGCTGATTCTTGAAGGTATTTTTATTTAATTACCACAAAATTAATATGTTTTGTCTAGATACCTGCGTATTCGTGGTATGATCCGTTTCAATGATGCCTTGTTGAGTTATTTTGGATATCTGATTACCTTTTGCTTTTGGAAATCTAAAATGCAGGCAACCTTTGAATGTCTTTTGAAAACATACGGTTTCTTGACTCCTGATTTCTGGAAAGAGACTCGTTTCACAAGGTCTCCTTTCCAGGAGTATACCGATCTATTGGGAAAGCCGGTGAAGACGCTTATCCTCGAAGATGCAGAGAGGGTGATTGATGCGTGATGGTGTTGAGCTTCATAGGGTAGCAATGCTCTTTTGGCTGTTAAGACAATGCATATGTTTACTTCTTTGCTTATTTGGTTGTCATAAGATATTTAGCACTTTTTCAGCAACTTGAAGTTTTGTTTTAAATCAATACGGAGTTTGTTCTTCAAAGCATATGGTTGATATATGAGTTTGTCTTCTCTTCTCTTCTCTTTGCTGCTTGTTCTTTAATGCGTATTTAGAGATCCAATAAATCAGCAAATAGCCTTTCGGCTATTTTAGTGACAGAAGCAAAAGGGAAAAGAAAAGAATTTCATGTAAGTTTGAGTCATGCCGTAGCTGCCTATCTGCATTTTTGTGTTTGTGTTCATTGAAAGCAGTATCAGATCCTCAGTTAAGTTAAATAATTTGATCCAAGTTATTTAGTGTTATAATGTTTCCAAGTTAATGTCTAAAACCTCCTCTAAAAAATTGCTGTGAAATCTCTAGAGAAATTTGGCTCTAGATAAAGGCGGTTTTGACAACCACAAGCACCAATAAACACAAGAAATTTACAGATAAACCTACACGTGGCAATGACCCATTTGCCCCATCATTTCTTTGGATAAGGAAATGGATGAGGGGTTACCAACATGCCCCTTGGTCCTTTTTTTAAAACAATTCCCTCAAATACAATCCAAGTCCAGCATCAGTCACAAATAAAACCTGAAGAAGAGAGTTTTTCTTTACTTGCACAGACATGGCTTCAATGAGCATGACAGCCTCTCTCCTTCCAACCTCAAGCACCGCTTTGACTAGACTTACTCGGAGACCTGCTCGCAGAGGTGCGATCGTGGCCAAGGCAGCCGGCGCGGATCAAGGCGAGAAGGCCGGCTTGGAAATGAAACCAGATAGCAGCAGTGGGAGGAGGGAACTGATATTTGCAGCTGCAGCAGCCGCTGCTTGCTCATTTGCAAATGTTGCCATGGGTGAAGAGCCAAAAAGTGGGACTCCTGAAGCAAAGAAAAAGTATGCTCCTATTTGTGTCACAATGCCTACTGCTAGAGTCTGTCGCAAGTGAGAAACCTTACGTTCCTCTGTATTCAATGTGCGAGATTCATGTACTTGCTTGTATGAAAACTTGCGTCTTTTTTATTGGAGAATCCTCCTCCTGTTTAACTTCATCCATAGCAGGTAATTATCCATAACTTGATCAACTTAAATAGTGAAGAAACTCGAGTTTAAAGGGCAGGGTAATAAAAAAACACACACACACACACACATATATATATATATATATATATATATATATATATATATATATATATATATATATATGAATTTTGCATTTGAAGAAGACATTTATTTATGTTTTTTTAAACGTAACTTGGATAGCCTCTTGTATTAACTGTAGTGGGAGTATTGAGTATTATAAGATTAAAATATTATTTTATTATTTTATAAATTTAAAATTTTAATTTTATCATTTTTGGGACAAGCTCCTATGTACGCCTCGAATTTCGGGTTAGTAATTCAGGTCAATCCGAAACTCAAAGTTAAGTCATTGGACCTTATATTATATTAGTTGGACCAATTTATTGTTAGTAGGCTTGAATTAAGACCCAAGAGAATTAATAAAGGGTGATGAGTAAATTATGTAATAAAAGTAAAGGGAGCTCAAAATGAAGCTAAAAGGATGATGTTCAATAACCTTATCTTGGATGGATTCAACTACGCTTGAATTTCTTTGAGATTCTTACTTAAAGAAGATAGAAAAAGAGAGAAAGATGAGAAGATAGGAAAAGTATTTGGTGAGTTGTGTAAGGGGTTGTTCACGGTGAAAACACAATATGAGGAGGGATTTTCAGCTTCCAAAATAGCTATGGATAAACTATACTTTTAGTCCCTTTACTTTTATTTCATAATTTACTCATCACCTTTCATTAACTTTCTTGTGCCCTAACTCAAAGACCACTAACAACAACTTGATCCAACTAATATAATATAAGGTTCAATGGTTTAACTTTGGGCTTCGGATTGACCCGAACTACTAATACGGGATTCGAGGCGTTACACCCTAGTTTCGTCTCTATGATAATAATCTAATGATATATAACATAATCAGAAATAATTGTTAAAAGTAGTAATATTTAGGTTTAGTGATAAATAAATGTTTATTTATTATGGTTGTTAGAAAATTATTTTCCGTCAGTGATGAGTGATTAAAGTCCTACAATTTGATTTTTTTTTTACTTGCCATTACTAGCATCAATAAATTAGAAAAAGAACTAGGCTTACTTACATCGTGTTTATATTAATCTTCAAAATAGTTCTTTTAATTTAAGAGATTTACATTGGTATAAAATCAAAATCAATTTTTGGGAATTGAAATTTCGATTTCACTTTTAAATAGAAGAGTTTTCGAAATCAAAGTCAGAGACAAAAAATTGGAAGTGCATACAAAAATTATTACAAGTGCAGGATGCAATGAAAACCTTCAATGGCTGATTGTAGTAAGGGGGAAACCATTTCATAAATGAAGGTCTAAAACCAAAAGCTGAAGTTATATATATCATGTAGAATGCCAATTTCTTCTGGTCACGAGTAAACTGTAATCGAGCCTAACATGAATAACGAGCAATTCTAGTTCAATCGAAACTCATGGCTCGAACCTCGGCTCAAGCTCAAGCAATGCTGCCCTTTTTCTTTTATTTCTGATCTCGAATTCAACTAGTTTGATAACTTGGGTTGTTTGAGCTCGACTACAATTACCGACAAAATTTGAGTCAACTTTGTTCTGGAGTAGGGATACAAAGGAAGAACCATCTGTTTCTTTAAATACAAGGAACATATGACAATCAATACTGATTTCTGTTATCTGGGAAATCACCTAAAAATGGCACAGAGTAGTTGTATTTTTCAACAGACAGCACATAATGGTAAACATCCACAAACTTTCCTTTTTCTTAACGAAAAAGACCTGTTGGACAGACTGTAGACATGGACATTTACAACCACAAACAAAATTGTGGATCACATCACTTGAACAATTCCCCTCTAATTTCTTCTTTTTGCTGCTAATTTCATCACAGAGATTCCGAACTCGGCTAATAAAACACATGAACATCAATCTACCGATATCTACCTCGAAGGTTCCACTAAAAAACAAAATGGAATAATAAACGAAATCGACAGTATCAACCAAACAATAATCAAGGAGATTGTCGTCTTCTTTTTTGTAGAAACGGTACTTTAACTCTTTTTTTTTTTTGGATTCGTCTACATTCGACTTGTACTCAGTTGGCTGATTGCAATGAACCATCTCTCATCAACTTCAAGCTTAGACTGTTGAATCTTTCACGTGAATATTGTCTCGAGGCTTTCCTCCAATCAGTGCCAGCTTTCATCATCGCAACGAACTCCTCGTAACTTATGCGCCCATCCTGCAATATAAAAGAATAAGCTTTGAACCATATCTACACTCGAAACCAAGTTGGTAAAAGAAAAGATTCTAGTGGTGGTTTAAAGAAATGGATAAGGTGCAATACGTAGACAAGCACGATAAGCATCGATAAGATGATGTGTCAGCCCTTGGCATGTATATTTTCATGGCAAAAATGTCGAGAAAAAGCTTTGACAAGTTCAAATCGAATCCACTATAGCCAAGCAAGAAAATGTCACCTTGTCAGTGTCAACATCGTGCATAATGGCATCGATGACTTCCTCACTGGTATCAACTTCATCATTTAAGGAATCTCGCAGATCTTCTCTCTCTAAGAAACCACTTTTGTTTAGATCAAAGAAGGCAAAAGCTTTATGCAAGTGCTCATCATTGGCCATTTTCCTAAGGTGAACTGAAACTGCTACAAACTCCCCATAATTCAGAGTACCGTCGCCATCAACATCAGCCTGTTAAAAGCAGGTGGTTGCAGTTATTCCATTGATGAAACCGAAAGTTCTAAATATGAAACGTTAATTATAGGAGGTCAAATTCTGTAAACCGAGTTTATGCAAGAAATGGAGGAGCAGAATATAGAATTCATGCAAGATGCGTCTCCCAAAAGGAGAAGAATCAAGCATAATGAAGCCTACTTTCAATAACCATCCAACCGCACAACCACATAAATCGGTTACTTAGTCATATCTTTAGTTCTTAGATCAGGAGGAATTGGAAACAAAATTTTGGGGGTAAGAAAATCTTACAGCTTCCACTAGGATTTGCAAATCTGCATCGGGAATCTGTTGGCCAAGCTTTTGCAACCCGGCCCGAAGCTCCTCAAGGTTTATTTTACCTCGTTTTCCAGTGTCCATAACATCAAAGGCCCCTTTTATGCCAGCTGCTTCCTCCACCGACAAATGCTCAGCAATCACCTGGAAAATCGAAAAGTTTGAAGTACCAGTCATTAAAAGTAAAAATTGTGGGTGTACATAGCCGATATTGAGCAGGTTAATAGGTAGACCCCAAAAATTTGCATCCTGTAACTTAAAAGTAGATAAACTCCAAGTGTTCAGCAAATTATTACCCTCAGAGCTCTCTTCTTCAGCTTGTTCATTACAGAAAATTGTTTGAGCCGAGCTTTCACAGTTTCACCCAATGAAACATTGGGTGCTTTCTTGGCATTTTGTATCCATGGATGTTCTGCTTTCGGTAGTTTGGATGAGTTTTCATACACGGAAAATATATATCAACATACATAAAGCATGTAAGATGTACAGAAGGTTACCAAGCACTCCTTGTGCTGTAAGACGTAGCTTTGGATCAGGATTAAGCATTTTCTTTACAAGGTCCTTTGCATTGTCCGAAACCTTAGGCCATGGGTCCCTCTTAAAGTCGATAACAGAGCGAATAATTGCCTGTGCTACTCCCTGCTCAGTCTCTGCATGCAAACACAAACATATTTTTATACATATATTTTCGATGGCATAGGAGTAAATAGAGAAAATTTATGCAAAAAGATACACCAGCAATGTTCTTATATTTATTTTTCTGCTCGGTCTCTCTTTATCTTTTCCCAAAAATCTGGAAGCACACACTGTATTCTCATTTATCTTCAGATGTAAGCTTCATGAAGTTGAATGATAAAAAGAACTTGTCGAAAATTTAAAGACCAACCTGCCCAGAATGGTGGCACACCACAAAGTAAAATATAGAGAATTACTCCAGCACTCCAGACATCGACCTCTGGGCCATAATTTCGTTTAAGAACCTCTGGTGCCATGTAATATGGGCTTCCTACGATCTCATTGAATCGTTCACCTGTTAAGAAAGAACATTCTTGAGGCAAACTTGAGCATAATATAAAAAAGGAGACAACTCAAAGATGGAAGGAGAGAAGACTTGCAAAATTCATCTAGTCGATAATTAATGGAATAGTTGATATTCAATACCAGGTTTAAAGAAGACCGACAGCCCAAAATCAATTGCCTTCAATGGCGCAGTTTCCTTCTTATTTGCAAACAGAAAATTCTCAGGTTTGAGATCGCGATGCATGACTCCATGTTTATGGCACATCTGCAACATAAATCAAATACAACCGGTTAAATGTTTTCATCTGAAATAAAAGCAGTCATCAAGATAGAGAAAAAAGAAAGCAAATGCTTAATGGTACATAGGTAGTGATCAGAGAAACGTGAAAGGAAAGAAAGTTGGAAGTAGAAAACAAGACTTTGTTTTTTTATTATTTGCAAAACACCGAGATAATCAATCCGAATGAATGCTTGAAATTGTTCACAGCTGTAGCTTTTATATCAAATGTCAAGATTCAATCTACCAAACTGGGTTTAAGTGCAACAGATAGCATGAAAAGGTGGATTATAAGTCAAACCTACAAAAATCAACCCGGTAGACCGATGGAAATCACAGTTTCATTTCAAAGAGGTTCACATCAATAAGAAAAACTCATTTATCACTGAAATTATAGTCAGAAATTAAACTGAAAAACTAGATCTGAGGCTCCTGTAATACTAAAAGGCTTAAACTAGTTTCCAGCAAACACATGAAAAATAACCATATGGGAGTATGAACCTCATTTAAGACCATAAACATGATGTGCATGACAATGCCAACTCAATAACAGAAAGATCATTCAGAATTCAACCTGAACAATTTCGACAATCGTCCTCATAACCCCTGCAGCGGCTCGTTCAGTGTAGTGTCCCCTTG